AGGGCAACCAAATCATCATGCTGGTGGCTGCACACGACTGAGCTGGCCGTGCCAGACGGAAGGGACTTTCAGTGCACTTCCCCGCTGGGATTCTCTCCCTTGCAGGTGACGCTGATCAAGCCCCAGGAGCCCCGGGCGGCACGGGGCTGGAACTGAGAGCTCAGTCCAACTGCAGGTGGCGGCAGCGTGCGCTACAGCTTTTTCCTGGCTGGAGTGCGAGGTGGAAAAGGCGTGGAGGGCGCGGCTTCAGGCCAGCCGGGAGATGTCACAGCACAGATGACATCACCTGGAGCCCGCGTGCTGTCACAGTGCACTGCCATAACGACGCCGGGCCCTCCCCAAGGACAGCTGCCCGCCGGCTCCAGGCACCTCATTCGTGAGCTGTGCTGCCCGCAGCTGCTCGCCGTGCGCTGTGCCCGAGAGCAGCCCCAGCAGCAGACCAGCTCAGCCTCTTCGCGCTTGTCCTCCAAGGCTCTCAGAGGTGAGGGAGAGCTCCAGCATGCTTCAGGCTGCAGAGCCCGGCCGCAGGATGCGGGCTTAGCTCCGCTGTGCGTGAGGGGCGTGCAGCACGAGACTGGCAGGACTGCCGTGAGCAGGAGAAATTGCTGCTGGCCCTTCTGGCTTGGGAGCTGCAAGCCACGTGGCGGGCGGCTCGCGGCTGGGCAAAGGAGACAGCCCTCTCCTGCCTGCCCCTCTGGGCTCCGAGGGCCGGGGGGCAGGAAGCAAAGCTCACCCGTGGCCTCTGCCAGGGCAGCCTGTCACTAACTCCTCTGCTCTTGCCTTTAGGTTTGGAGGCACGTGCCTGCCAGCATGGACGGAGCCTGGGTGGGGACGTGGAGACCTCATCGCCCACGTGGCCTCATCTCGGCCCAGTTCCCCAGCCCCGGGCCCCAGTACTCCATCCCGGGGACAACAGGTACAGCGGCCATCCCCAGGGCGGGGCGCGCATTAGGGACATCACGGGGCAGAGCAGCTCCCGAGCCTTTCCCCGTTCCGGCAGAGCCTCCCACAGACTCAGCTCGGCAGCTGCACAGAGGCGCTCTGGGGGCTCTCGCTATGGAGTGCCTGCACGCGTGGTGCGGGAAGGCCTTTGGAAACTGCTGGCTACAGGCAGCGTGCTGGCCAAAGCTCCGCTCTCTTTTTCCGGTGACTTTGCAAGGCGCTGGCTCAGCCATTTGCACTCAGGGGCTGACTCTTGTGCGCTGCGAGGCCCCGCACGGCTCGCCTCCGTTGGTCTGGGAGGAAGAAGTCACGTGGGAAGGGAATGTCAGGAGGCCAGGCGCCTAACTGCGCCTAACTGCTCCACAGGAGCTTGAAACGTGCAGCTGCTCAGGGGTGTGCTCTCTTCTGCTTTTCCTCCTAGGTTTCGTGGGCCACAGCCCCACCAAAGCCCGTGCCCCCGCATACACGTTTCGCGGGACCAAACCGCCTGCGGCCGAGAGCTGCGGGCCAGGTCCCTGCTACTTTGTGGAGCCCGCCATCACCAAGAACGGGAAGTACGTGGCTCCGGGCGCCCACCTTTGCGGACGACCCATGACGGAGACCACCGTCACCCCCGG